CGCCCCCTGGGTTCACCCAGCTTAGCTTAGCTTAGCTTAGCTAAGCTTAGCTTGGCTTAGCTTAGCTTAGCTTAGCTTAGCTTATCTCATCTTAGCTTAGCTTAGCTTAGCTTTGCCTAGCCTAGCTTAGCTAAGCGTAGCCTAGCTCATCTTAGCTTAGCTGAGCTGAGCTTAGCTTGGCTTAGCTTAGTTTAGCATGGCTTAGCTTAGCTTTGCTTATATTAGCTTAGCTTAGCTTAGCTTCGCCTAGCCTAGCTTAGCGTAGCTTAGCTTAGCTTAACATACCTTAGCTTAGTTTAGCTTAGCTTAGCTTAGCTTAGCGCAGCGCAGCATAGCGCAGCGCAGCATGAGCGCAGCATAGCATAGCATAGCATCGCCAATCATAGCATAGCATAGCATAGCACAGCATAGCATAGCTCTGCATAGCATCGCATATCATGTCATATCATTGCATCGCATAACATAACATAGCAGTGCTTAGCATAGCACAGCGCAGCATATCATTGCATAACACAACACATCACATCACAACATATCATATCATAGCATATCATATCATAGCGCAACATAGCATAGCATAGCATAGCATAGCATAGTGCATCATTAATGTCATATCGTAGCCTAGCATAGCATAGCACAGCCCAGCATAGCATAGCATAGCATAGCATAGCATAGCATAGCGCAGGATAGCACAGCATAGCATAACACTACTACTACCGCTACTGCTACGACTGCGACGATGAGGAGAAGGAGGAGGACGGCGTTTACCATTACTACTAATATTGCTCTCCTAGGGGCTCCAACTCCTAGGTAGGGTTTTTTTTTTTTTTTTTTTTTTTTTTTTTTTTTTTTTCTCTCTCTCTCTCTCTTTCACATCCTTCCTCTCTGTCTCTCTCTTTCTTTCTCTTTCTCCTCTCGTTCTCTCTCTCTCTCTCTTTCTATGTGCTTTGTTCCTCCATCTCTCTCCCCCTCTGTCGCTCCGACTCTCCGTCTCTCTGTCCCTATCCCCGCCGAAACGCCTTCCATGCTTTTGGCTGCTGGGAAAATGTGAAGACGATTGTGTGTGGCGCCAAAGCAAAGCGGGATCCTTATTTGGAAAGCGATTCGCCTTCCCCCCGTGCAAGATTCAAGCTTCACTGGCATGAGTTGTGACGAAGTCTCGTGCGAATTGCCAGGCCCGCCTTACCGAAACGTCTGGTGGTGCGACCAGGAATAATTATTATTGAAGAGAGATGTGATGGAGGAGGAGGAGGAGGAGGAGGAGGAGGAGGAGGAGGAGGAGGAGGAGGAGGAGGAGGAGGAGGAGGAGGAGCAGGAGGAGCAGGAGGGGGATGAGGACGAAGAGAAGGAGGCAGAGCAGGAGAAAGAGGAGGAGCTGAAGCATGGAAAAGAGGCGAAGGGGGAGCAGGAGAAGTCGGAGGAAGAAGTTGAGAGCAATGCGCGGGAGGGTGAGGTGGAGGGGGAGGGGGGAAGACATGCGAAGGACGGCGTGGGAGATGAAGTCGGCGGCAGAGCAGTCGGGCGAGCAGCTTGCAACTTTCGGCCTCACATGGCCTCTGGAGGCGCGCCTCTCCGAGTTGCGAGTCCACGCGGCTGCAGAGCGGACAGTCTGGCTGTGGGGGACGCGGCGGCCGTCCTGCAGGCAGCGTGGCGCTCCAGTGCGGAGAGTCTTCTAGATCGGGCGCCGGACGATCCATCCCCCGCCCTGCGTAGGGGCCAAACATTCACCGACACCTTTGCGGGCCGAGCCTGCCCTGGGTCCAGGATCGGTGTAGGCATCCAGCTGCTGTCGGTCCATGCCGCCATCGTGCCCGGGTCGTGGACAACAGGTCTCTTGGATGCCTCGAGGGGCCTCGTGCGTAGGGCGTCCTTTGGGGCCTGTTGGGTACCTCTTTGGGGCCTCTTGGGTGCCTCCAGTGGCCTTCTTGGAGGCGTCTTGGAGGCCTCTGGGGGCCTCTTGTGTGCCTCTTGGGTGCCTGCTGGCTGTCCTGGGGGCCATCTTGGGGCGGAGGGCGCGAAATGACAGTTCGAGTTCCCCCTCGTGGGCCCCTCTTGGGCGCCTCGGGGGCCCTTGGGCGGGTCTTGGTGGCTTCTTGGGCCGTCTCGGGCGCTCTGAAGACCGAGCCGCCGAAGCTGCTTGATTCATGCGTAAGCGCACGGGCTTTCAGAGACTTTGCCTTTTCAGCCTAGCTCATGGGGTTTTCCAAAACGGCCCTGGAGGCGCCCAAAAGGAGCCCCAGGACGTGCCCCTGGGGCTATTCTCGAGCACGTTGGCAGCTTGCACTCCAGACCGCGCTGTCGAGACCTCTGGAAATGTGGCGTGACGCAGTCCAGGAGCGCGCGAGAGCGTCACGAATTCGGAAAGCCTGCTGTGCAGCACACTCGAGAGGGACCTGGGGGCACTCCGCTCAGACGGAGGTCTCCGGGGGCAAGCTGACGGAGGGCACCCAGCTCGTGCCCGCGCGGCGCGCGGCTCCGAGGCTGCGTCCTTCTCGTGTCTGACACCCGGCGGCTTTTTCTGGGACGCCCAGCTTATCTCTCCCTTGACGGGAGGAAAAGCTACGCGCCTGCCTCTGCGCATGCAGCGACACTCCGCTCAGTGCCTCGCGGCACTTGGGCGGATACTTCGTCCTCGCGTGGCAGGGGAAACAGTCATGTTATCCTGGGCCTCAGAGGAACTCGGCCAGGATCGATTGCAGGTGTATGTTGGCGTCCTCCTTTCGTCGTCGGGACGCGCTGTGGACGGCTTCGAACACGCTCAACCAATCTCACAGCAGGACCCCCGGTCTCTTCCGCTGCCTCCCAGCGGCGTCCGCGCTGTTTTGGTATCCGCGAAGGGGCTAGGGCCGAGGAAGCTCGCTCGCCAGGAGGCGCGAGGACTTGATCTGCTTCTGCTGCCGCTCCTCCTCCTCCTCCTCCTCCTCCTCCTCCTCCTCGATCCTCCTCCTCCTCCTCCTCCTCCTCCTCCTCCTCCTCCTCCTCCTCCTCCTCCTCCTCCTCCTCCTCCTCCTCCCCCTCCTCCTCCTCCTCCTCCTCCTCCTCCTCCTCCCTCTCCCTCCTCCTCCTCCTCCTCCTCCTCCTTCGCCTCCTCCTCGTCCTCCTCGCCCTCCCCCTCTTCCTGCTCTTCTTCCTCCTACATTCCTTCTCCTTATAAATAATTTCTCCCTGTTGCACCCCGAGGCCAGTTTTTAGAGCGGGCCGGGCGTTTCGCCTGAGAGTTCCTCACCACTAATGGTCCTGAAACTTAAACATTTGCAGCAGCATCACAGATGGAGGGTAGGTGGTTTTCCACATGTGGCACTCGCCTTAGCGCCGCGCGCATTCGTGAACAAATTACAAGAGTTTCACGGACAGGGCCACCCGGTTTCAAAATGTGGCTGTCGCCTTAGCGCCGCGCACATTCTTTTAAACAAATTGCAAGAGAGTCATGTATTGAGGGCGACCCGTTTTCAACATGTGGATCTCGCCTTAGCGCCGCGCACATTCCTTTCAAGCATTTGCAGCAGTTTCACGGATTGATTGCCACCAGTTTTCAAACTGTGGTTCTCGCTTTAGCGCCGCGCACATTTGTTTTAAACATTTGCAAGAGTTTCACGGATTGCGGGCGGTTCCTTTTCAACATGTGGCTCTCGCTTTAGTGCCGCGCACATTCGTTTTTAAACCTTTTAATGCTTTACAAGAGTTTCACGGATTCCCATGATCAGCATTGCAGATGGTGTTTTGGAAGGATTCAGGATTATGAGGGTGCAAACGTTACGTTGATTCGCAGTATTGAATACCAGGAGTGGCGTTCTGGCACGGTTTAGGATCGTCAAGACGCAACAATCCGGTTGATCCGTGGCGTTGGAATCCCGAGAACAATGTTTTGGCATGCTTCCGTGTCTTGAAACTGTTGTCTTCCAGCGAGGCAGTTCCGTCAGTGGAAATGGACCTTTGCAGGGGCCTATGAAGCGGGAGCTTGGAGGGAGGGTTTGTCCCAACATCGTTGATGACTCTTGGGTTTGCACTGGTCCTCCTCCTCCTCCTTTCCGTCCTCCTCCTCCTCCTCCGCCTCCTCCACCTCCACACTATGAATACTACATTCCTTTCTTCCTTGGTGACGTCTGGGAAATGTTCGGCCCCCCTTCCGCGTATGGCTTTTTACACAGGGTTCCCGAGAAGCAGGTTTCCGTTTTTTTTTTTTGGTTCTTTTTTTATTTTTCAAAATGCTGCTCTCGCTGAGGCGGTGGCTTCATTTTCGGGCTACCGCTCGTTCCGAATTGTGCTCCCGCTGCAGCCCTGGCCTCATTTCCGCGCCCCCCCCACTTTGGGGCGTCGCCACGCCATGCTATCTCAGGCTACGCGTCCTACGAATCGCGCTCCCGCTGCAGCGATGGCCTCATTTCCGCGCTTCCGCTCGTTCCGAATCGTGCTCCCGCTGCAGCGCTGGCGTCATTCTTTCCAGCGCGATGCCAAGGCATGATTTTCGATCCTTCAAATTCGCCCCAAATTCTAGAAAATGGTTCCCGAAACAACCATCGGAAGTGATTACACATTGGGTGCCGATTCGTCAGTTCTTTTGGCCGCAGAAGCCCTCCACTTTGGGACGTTGCCACGCCATGCTATGTCAGGCTACGCGTTGACCTTCAGGACCATGCTATGCCATGTAGTGCTATGCCCTGCTGCGACATCCGACTGTGCGAATGTAGAGGAGATCTACGCCATGGTCAGGGATGGGAGGGAGGGGTAGGACGTCAGATATGACGCGAGCGCACCTAGCTTGCTCTCCACCCCCCCTCCTCCCCACTCCTCCTCCTTCTCCTCCTCCTCCTCCTCCTTTTCCTCTTCCTCCTTCGCCTTCTAGCAGTCGCCGCGCAGCGATCGTACCTCCAAGTTCAGCTGGCATGTCTTGAGCGTGTCTCACCGGCGAGTTACATCAAGACTGAGAGACATTGGTCGTCAACGGTGCTCTCAACTCATCGTGCCCCTCGCATCATGTTCCTGCCGCGTCTGCGGGGAAGGCCCGCGGGGAGTACCTGAAGTGGCACTTTGTAGAGGCGGCCGGCCAGCGGTATTATTACAACCGCGAAACAGGCCTCCGAATACTTGCTTTTGCTTCAGCCCTTGCCCTGCCCGTCGTGCCCCTCCTCCTCCTGCATCCCTATTCCTTATAGTTAACTCCTCCCCGCCGCACCCCCAGACGTGGCGGTATTGCGGGCCGGGCGGGTCGCCTGAGACTTCCTCGCCATGTATGATCCTGAAGCTTGAAACTCGCACCACTTTCGAGGATGGAGGGCGGGTCATTTCCAAAATGTGGCTCTCGCCACAGCGCCGCGCGCATTCGTCTTGCAAGTTTCTGCAGCCGTTTCAAGGATGGAGGGCGGTACCTTTTCATAATACTGTTTCGCTGTAGCGTCGCGCACATCGTCATAAAACAACTTCCAACATACTCAAGGATGGAGGGTGGGTCCTTTTCAAAGTGTTGCTCTCGCGTCAGCGTGGCCCACCTCCGTCTCAAAAGTTCGCAGCAGTAGTAAGAAAGAAGGGAACATCCTTTTCATACTTTGAGCGCTTACAGCAGTTTCAGGAATGGAATGCGTTTCCTTCTCAAAATGTTGCTGTCGCCTCAGCGCCTCGCACTGTCGGTTTAAACAATTGCAGCGGCTTCAAGGGTTCGTATGGTTGAAGTCCCAGAGATGTTGCCCTGGCACGATTCAAGGTTGTCAGGACTCAGCAGTCACATTGATTCGCATTGCACGGGTGCGATGGTGCCATGCGGGCGCTGCCACTGGGGCCTTGGGTGGAGCTCCCTATGTGGCCCGAAAACATGTGCGGGGTGTGCCGAAACGGGTGCGGTGGTGCCATGCGGGCGCTACCACTGGGGCATGCGGTTGAGCTCCCGATGGGCCACGAATGGTGTGACGGGTGTGCCGAAACGGGTGCGGCGGTGCCGTGCGGGCGTTGCCACTGGGGCCTTGGGTGGAGCTCCCTATGGGGCCCGAAACGTGTGAGGGGTGTGCCGCAACGTGTGCGGCGGTGCCATGAAGGCGTTGTCACGGGGGTGTTCGGTGGAGCTTCCGATGGGGCCCGAAAACATGTGAGGGGTGTGCCGAAAAGGGTGCGGTGGTGCCATGCGGGCGCTGCCACTGGGGCATTCGGTGGAGCCCCCTATGAAGCCCGAAACATGTGAGGAGTGTGCCGAACCGGGTGCGGTGGTGCCATGCTGGCCCTGCCGCTAGGGCCTTAGCTCCCTATGGGATGGCAACATGTGATGGGTGTTCCTGCATGGACATGCTGAGAGCAGATGCCGATGCTGCTGCTGCTGATGATGCTGCTGCTGATGATGAGGATGATGATGATGATGCTGATGATGCTGCTGATGATGAGGGTGATGGTGGTGATGATGGCGATGATGACGATGTTTATGATGATGCTGGTGATGACGATTATTCTACTGTTGAGGATGATGCTGCTGATGATGATGGTGATGATGATGAGGATGACGATGACAATGAGGATGCTGATGATAATGCTGACGATGATAATGCTTATTGTGATGATGATATTGATGACGATGGCGATGGTAATGATGATGATGCTAATGCCGATGATGTTGATGATGAGGATGATGATGATGACGATGCTAATGATGATGCTGATGAGGCTGACGATGATTAGTATGATGATGATGATGACGATGCCGGTGATTGTGATGATGATGACGACGATTATGATGATGGTGGTTGTGATGACTATGATGCTTATGATGACAATGACGACCATATCGACGATGCTGACGATGATGATGGTGAGGATGCTGATGATGATGAGGAGGATGATGCTGATGCTGATGCTGATGACGACGATGACGATGACGATGACTGATGACGATTATGGTGATGACGATGGGGATGAAACTGATTCTGCTGATGATGGGGATGCTGGGAATGGCGATTGTGATTACATTGTTGTTCATGATGATGATGTCGATTATGATGATGCTAATGCTGATGATGATGTCGATGATGGTGATGAGGCTGATGACAATTACGGTGGTGATGATGATAACGATGATGATGATGACGCTGGTGATGACGCCGATTATGATGCTGCTGCTGATGATGCTGATGATGATGAGGATGCTGTGGATGAGTGGGGTTCTGGGGATGGCGATGCTGATGATGATCATGATGATGATGATGATGATGATTCTGATGAGGATGATGATGCTGATCATGATGTTGATGAGGATGATGAGGATGCCTCTGCTGATGATGATGCTGATGATGCTGATGATGATGCTGCTGCTGATGCTCATTATGATATGAGGATGCTAATGATGATGATGATGATGATGATGATGATGATGATGATGATGATGATGATGATGATGATGATGATGATGATGATGATGATGATGATGATGATGATGATGATGATGATGATGATGATGATGATGATGATGATGATGGATGAGATGATGATGATGATGATGATGATGATGATGATGATGATGATGATGATGCTGATGATGATGTGATGATGATGATGATGATGATGATGATGATGATGATGATGATGATGATGATGATGATGATGATGATGATGATGATGATGATGATGATGATGATGATGATGATGCTGATGCTGATGATGATGATGATGATGATGATGATGATGATGATGACGAAACGCGTGAGGGGTGTGCCGAAATGGACATGCGGAGAGCAGGCGCACGATGCTGAGGACGACGACACCGATTACGAGGACGATGATGATGATGATGGTGCTGATGATGGTGATGCTGAGGATGATGCTGCTGCTGCTGATGCTGATGACATTGTTGATGCGGCTGATGATTCTGATGCTGATGATGCTGCTGCTGCTGATGATGATGATGACGAGGCTGATGCTGTCTATGATGCTGGTGATGCGGGTGATGGTGGTGATGGCGATTCTGATGGTGCTGGTGACGATGGTGGTGGTGGTGGTGGGATGATGATGTCGATGATGATGCTGATGATGATGCTGATGCTGATGATGCTGCTGCTGATGATGATGGTGATGCTGATGCTGATGATGATGCTGATGCTGATGCTGATGCTGATGATGATGATTATGATGATGCTGATGATGCTACTGATGACGTGGATGGTGAGGATGGTGATCAGGATGACGATGATGATCACGGCGATCATGGTGTCGACGGTGATACTGGTGATGCCGGCACGCGGAGAGCAGCGACAGGGATGGGAGGGAGGAGGGGGAGGCGGTGAAGTGAGGAACGCGGGGCATTGCCCATTCAAAGCGAGGGCCCAACACCACAGGATGGTTGGGGAACAACGCGTGTATAGGGGGGTTCACTTTTCTTACCCCCGTGCATCCACATATGTTCTTATGCCCATGAGCAGTGGTCACGGAGGCGGGGTAAGAAGACGCTCTCTCTCTGCCTCTTTGCGCGCGCGCACTCTCTGACTCTCTCCCTCTCACTCTCTCTCACTCTCGCTCTCTCTCGCTCTCTCTCCCTCTCTCGCGTATGTTGCAAAGGAAGGACGGAAGGAGGATAAACACCTGGATTTGAATTACAGTCCGAGAAGAAATTCTTGGAAATGGATTTCGCGCTCGCCTGGGGGCCACGTTCTTCGAGGCGTCGCCATTGAGGTTGCAGCGGTACTGAATGCCTTGCGCGAAAGCGCGATGTCCACATTTAGTCCAATGCGTGCGGACTTTTCGGTCCCATTGCTTTGCATGGCCTTGCGTTGCATCGAACGTGGTCGCATTGCAGTGCGTCGCCTTATGCACGCGCGCGCACATACCACCAAGCACGCACGCACGCGCACCACAAGCCACTACGCACGCACGCAGATGCAAGCATGAGAGGGATTCACGGCATTCTGCCTCGCCTGACAATAGTGCACCGTCGTGACGTGATGCGCGGTAGCCGCGGATGCGTCCGGCGCCGGGTGTGTCCTGGCATTGTAAGACCCTGTGAAACGCGCGAATGCGTTCGGCGCCGAGGTTTTCGTGGCACTGTGAGACCATGTGAGACTTGCGGATGGGCTCGGCGCCGAGGGTTTCTGGGCATTGTGAGACCTTGTGAATTGCGCGAATGCGTTCGGCGCTGAGGGTTTCGCGGCCCTGCAAGGGCACGTGAGTCGCGCGGACGTGTTCGGGCGCCAGGAGTTTCGGGCCGTGGTGAGACCCTTCGAAACGCGCGAATGTGTTCGGCGCCGAGGGTTTCGTGGCACTGCGAGACCATGTGAGACTTGCGGAAGTGCTCGGCGCCGAGGGTTTCGGAACGATTTGAAAGCCTTGAAGACGAGCGGTTGCGTTCGGCGCTGAGGGTTTTGTGGCACTGTGAGACCATGTGAGGCTCGCGGATGTACTCGGCGCCGAGGGTTTCGGGGCGAATTGAAACCCTTCGAGACGCGCCACTGCGTTCGACGCCGAGGGTTTCGTAGCACTTTGAGACAATGTGAGACTCGCGGATGTGTTCGCCGCCGAGGGCTTCGGGCACTTTGAGACCCTTTGAGGCTGTTTGAGATTGCTTTGAGACCGCCATCGGACGCGTCTGGTGTGTGAATGTATACATTGTCGTGCATGTTTTGGGACTCATCCGACACTCGTTTGTACAATATTACATTAGGAGTCGGACAGTCTCAAGGCGGTTCGAGCGCGGACGGGGCCGCTTCTGAGCAGATGGGGCCGCCGCCCAGGCGCGATTCAAACGGTGCAGAATTTTACTCAACCTCCTGGCCCACGTCGGCTCGACGTGCGTGCATCGCTGCATGTGGCTGATGGAAGTTGCCGTTGAAATTATGCGTGCTCAGATGCTTCCATGCGATCAGTGATCAATTTCGTTTCCAACTTTGTCCTCCGCCTGTCCTATTCAGTCCGTGAGGAGATGCTTGGCTCGCCGCCGAGGATTTCGGGCACTTTGAGACCCTCTGAGAGTGTTTGAGATTGCTCTGGGACCGACGTCGGACGCGTCTGGTGTGTGAATTTTTAACGGTCGTGCAGGTTTTGAGACTCATCCGACACTCGTTTCTTATAAAACTTAATTAGGATTCGGACAGTCTCAAAGCGGTTCGAGCGCGGACGGGGCCGCCGCCGAGCGGATGGGGCCGCCGCCCAGGCGCGATCCAAGCGGTGCAGAATTTTACTCAACCTCCTGGCCCACGTCGGCTCGACGTGCGTGCATCGCTGCATGTGGCTGATGGAAGTTGCCGTTGAAATTATGCGTGCTCAAATGCTTCCATGCGAGCAGTGAAGAATTTCGTTTCCAACCTTTTTTTGCTCCTCCCGTGTACCTGTTTAAAAATGGATTTTCGTTGGCACCCTATGTTGAGGCAGTCGGGACATGTTGGATACAGGGTCTGTGTCTTTCTTCTTAATGGCGTTGTATTGGTATCCTAGTTGAATGCAGCGGGCTCAGGGATCCCTTTCGTTACTTTTCAAAGGGGCAGGAGGATGAGACGGAAAATGAGGAGGAGGAGGAGGAGGAGGAGGAGGAGGAGGAGGAGGAGGCGGCGGAGGACGACGAGAACGGATGATGATGATGATGATGATGATGATGATGATGATGATGATGATGATGATGATGATGATGATGATGATGATGATGACACTGGGCGGCGCACGGATTGACAGCAGTGCGTTGTGGAGGATCGCGATGATCATGCGGCTGTGGGTAGGATGTGGAAGATGGTCGGGAGGAACATGTGGACGCGGACGGAAAGGAGAGATGATGGGCGACGTGAGGGTCAGCAGCAAAACGACTGGTCCTCAATCTTACATCTTGCAGCTCCTCCGTGCTTCCCTCCTCGCACCACTCCTCCTCGCCCTCCCGCCGCTGGTCAAAATCAGCATCGCCATCGTCGCCGCCGCCGTCGCCATCTTCATCGTCGGTGCCGTCGCCGCCAGCATCTACGGCTCCTCGTCCGCCTCCCCTGTGGTAGGGGTGGAATCATTGCCTTCCTGCGCCTCCTGAAGGCCCCCTCTGCCCCTTCCCCCTTTTATCGTTCATCCTCGCCCTCGTCCAGTCGTCTGTCCTCCCAATGCCATCAGCAGCGTAAAAATCACGATCGTCCTCCTCGCCACCACCATCGTCGTCATCATCGTCGACGTCGTCGTCATCATCAGCTCCGCCTCCTCGTCCGCCCCCACTGCTGGTAGGAGCCTCAACGTCGCCCTCCTGCGCCCTCCTGCCCCTTCCCCGTCCGATCGCCCATCCCCGCTCTCATCCTGTCGCCTGCCCCCCCCCCCCCCTCGCAAGCAGCAAGCAGCGTAGTTACCCTCCTTCCTCGCCCGCCGCTTCTTCGCAGGGAGAGGTCGATGCGCAGGGGGAGAGGAACGCAGGGCGGAGGGGATGGGGAGGGGAGGGGGGGGGGGGGGGGCGAGCGACGGCGCGACGGCGGTGAGGGGGGTGAGGGGCCCTGGGGCAGTGGCGATGCCGTGGATGATGGGGCTGCCGAGGACGAGGGGGCGAATGACTGTGGGCGGGAGGGGGGAGGCAGAGAGGGCTGGTGGGAGAGCGCGGAGGATCAGGAGGAGAAGGACGATGACGACGAGGACGGATGAGGAAGAAAGGGGGGGGGGGCGACGCGAGGATCAGCAGCAATGCGATGAGGATGGTGACGATGACCACGAGGATAGCGCGTCGAAGATGGCCAGGAGGACGACGCGGGCGAGGACGGAGGGGCGGGATAGGGCGGGGTTGGGGAGAAGGGGGGGGGGCACGTTGGGGATCAGCATAAGGGCGGACGGGGAGCATGGTGACGATGACCATGAGGATGTGGATGCGGTATGGAAGAGGATCAGGAGGACTCCGTGGACGAGGACGGAGGGGAGGGATGGGGCGCGAGGTGAGGACCAGCAGCGAGACGGGCGAGGGCGAGGAGGACGATGATCAGGATGATGAAGGGGATGTGGTCCACGATGCTGTCAGCTCCCATGCGTTATGTATTGGTTTTGCGATGAGCTTGACCTGTGATGAAATACGAGTTTGAGGGATCAACTGACACTACATGATAGGAGGTGTATGCAAACGAGTTGCGGAGAGCATATGATAGGGAGGTCGGAGGAAACATGTTAATCTTATGAATAATTCGAAGAAGCATAATAATAAGCGTGCGAATAGTACGAGCACTAAGACTATTAATACTACCAGTGTTATTAAAACCACGAGTAGTAATACTAACACACATGAGAAGACACATAATACAAAGACGCATGTACATCCTGCTACCAGTAATATTAATAGCAATAGAACGGGGGAAACGCGATCGAACACGAACCGAACGGTGTGATACTGCGAGGGGGGGGACGGGAACACATCTATACATATGCGCATACATATACACATACACATATACATGTTCGGTCGTTGGGTGAGCTTTCCCGTTTGTATCTACATTTTTTTTGGTTTCATGAACCATGTCGTTGGAGGGTTGCCATGTGTGCGTCTTGCTGTATTGTCATAGTTCCGTTCTTATTGCGGTCGCACGCGCAGGTGCAAACACATATTTTGCATGTACGTGTCTCTGTAAAACTCTCACTCTCTCTCTCTATCTAGGCGTTTGTGCGTGTGCGTGTGTAATCCCAGTGCTCCTAGCAATAGTGTCTGTACGAACGCGAATAATTATCACGCAGCGCTGGCTGCTGCCGTGTTTTTTTGTGTAAGCCCTCACTTCGGTTTTTTTCGAAATGGGTTAGCCCAGAGTTTAGCTTGGACATGCCCGATATTGTTGAGTCGCAGTCTGTTCATACCGTTTTTCATCAGTTTGTAGAAACACAGGAGCAACATAAACAGCGGAAATACGCGCGTACAGACATATTGGACCAGGGAACACGAACGTGTTGCAGCGAGCGGGAGCAGCTGATAACACCACTGCGGCAACGAGCGCTGGTGCTCCCGTTTGTTTTTGTTGTTTTCGTTTCATTTGTCGTTCCCGTTGCTTCCCGCGCTCCCATGTCATTTATGTGTTTCTGTTTCTTTGGTTGTCCCCGTTGTGTTTCGTGCTCGTGTGACCTGTAGAATGTATGTTTCCTCTGGTGTTTCTCTAGTCCGTTGGGTTTTCGTTTTTATTGACGTTCCTGTTCGTTTTTGCTCCCAATGTGTACGTAATGCGTGGCGGTTTTGTGCGTTTTTCTTGTCTTGTTTCCCCGTGTCCTATATTCTCGTCCGTTTGGTTTGCTGTTCTCGTTTTCTTTGTTGCTTTCGTTGTCTCTCGTCTGGTTTGTTATGTCTTTCCGTATTCTCAGCCATCTCTTTGTTCTTGTCGTGCTTTTGTCTCGAGTGTGGTTCCTTCTTGCTCCGCTTCCTTTCGCCCTTCGTGCTCCGTGCCCCTCATCGGCCCGTTGTCTTTCCTCTCTCGCTGTCTCTCGTGCTCCCTTTTGCTGCTCTTCCCGCTCATCCCTTGGTCTTCCGTGCTCCTGTTCATTGTGCTGTTGTCGTTTCATGGTGTTGCTGCTCCCTTGGCCTCGACTGCTCCGTTGTTCTCGGCTGCGCCGCCGCCGCCGCCGAGTGGCGGCGGCGGGGTCGGGTTTGGGCTCGGGCTCGGGCTCGGGCTCGCGCTCTTGCTCTCGCTCGTGCTCGCGCTCGGCCTCGCGCTTGGGCTCGAGCTCGGGCTCGAGGAGCAGGAGGAGGAGCAGGAGAGGGGGAGGAGGAGGAGAGGAGGAGGAGGAGGAAGGGAAGGAACACCAGGGAGAATCATTCGAATCTAGACCATGATGGGTTCCCCATAGCTGCCTGTGTCATTTCAATAGCGATACGTTTCAGACGTATTGGCGCATCGGCCCATGTAAACCTAGATCCGGATGGACATCAAGAGTAGATTTCAGTCAGAGGGAGGGAGTGAGAGAGATACACATATATGTAAAGAGAGAGAGAGAGAGAGAGAGATTGAGAGAGAGAGAGAGAGAGAGAGCGCGAGAGAGTCAGAAAAGGGAGAGAGCGGCATGAGAGAAAGAAAGAGAGAGAGAGAGAGAGAGATGGGCCAACGCAGAGAGAGAGAGAGAGAGAGAGAGAGAGAGAGAAAGAGAGGGCGAGAGAGAGAGTTGCAGCAGTGGCGGAGGGCGAGGCAGGATGGGCAGCGCTCTCCGACTCGAGCCACGGCCGTGCGCGGGGGCCGTCCGGGGAAGCGACGTCAGCCGCAGAACGCGGCGAGGGCCCGCGTGCGAAGCGCGAGAGAGTGCCCGGCGGCGGTCTCCCGCCGTGGCAGGCGAGTCCATGTGGGAGCACCCGGCAGAGGCGCCGCGCCGCGCCGGCGGCTCTTCCCTCCGCTTCCCCCCCCCTCCTCCCTCTCTCGCCTTCTCTCCGCTCCTGCGTCCTTCCGCTCTCTCTTCCGCTCGTCCCCCATCCTCCTCTTTTCTCCCCGGAGCCTTCTTCTCCCGGCCTCTCCAGTGCCTCCTCTCCTCTGCTCTCTTTCCCATGCCTCCTCCTCCTGCTTCACCCCCCCCCCTATCTCCCCCTCTTCTCCTCTTCCCATTCCTCTTCCACTGCCTGTTCGATGCGTCGTGTGCAAGCCCTTCATGTCATTGCTGCCTAGCAGCTCGTGGACATGTCGCTGCTCTGTCTTGTCGAGGAGCGCCTTATTGTATTACTTTACACTCGCCTGCAACATAATGAACATGATCGCCGCCTTTTCAATTTGGTAGCGTTGTAGAGATCCACAAGCTTGTGGGGAGCTCCCGTACTATACTTCGTCGCTGTGTTCCGTCTCACTCGCAGCTGTCTTTCTCATTACAACGTGTGAGCAAGATGTTGCAGTACGTTGTGGCTCACCGCTGCGCGTGCTGCCAAGGCACTGGTGGTTACCAGCCTCCTCCTCCATCTCCGAAGGTCTCCAGAGGCCTCCAGAGCAGAGACTTCCAGAGGCCCCCAGGCCCCCCAAAGGGCATACTCGGTGCAAAAACGTCGATCCTCCTCCTCCTCCCCCTCCTCCCCCCCGGGGTCATCTTCGGCGATTCTGGAGCACCTCGAACATCTTGGAATTCTCGGGAGGCTTATTCGGTGCATCCGAGGAGGCGCCCTGCGCCGTCGTAGACCCTTCATGGGCAGTCGGAGGAGCCCTGAAATGGGGTCGGCTGGCCGTGTCGAGCCTGGGAGGCAGACAAAGGTTGAGAAACCGACGGGCTGACATCACCGATTTTTAGAGCAATCTGAGATCGCACTTGAGGGATGGATTCAGGGTTTTGATGGGGTCAAGCTGTGTAGCTTCATGTTGCGAACAAACAAATGCCAGCCTCTCCGACGGCTGGTAAGGACACTTTGGAGTCAGGATGAGCATGCCTGTTCCAGCCTCAAGGGGTCGTGCGCTTCTCAACTACTCAATGCTCTTTTTTACATGCGTTGGCATCTAACGTTTTCATTTGCATATGTACGTTGATGCAATTACAGGCGTCCAGAATTACATGCTATTCGGTGTCCCATGTCTCCTGATGAGACAGTCTGCGTATCCGCAGCATGATGGTTTTCCTGTATGGGAGGCTTCGATCTATAAGTATTGTGGCAACCTGTTGCATCTCCTCTCTTTCCCCTCGCCTCTCCTGCTCCAGCTCCCTCTTCGTCGCCTCCGCCGTGCCTCTTCCCCCTGCCCCTCCTCGCTTGTGTCGTCGCATCCCGCCCGTCCTGCTTTGGCTGCCCTTTTGTTTCTTGCGGCCCCTCGGGATGAGCTGGGTTCTTCTGTTGAGTCTACCTTTAAGTCAGGCGTGTCCCTCTACAACAATAGTAATAGTCTGGGGACCATTTTGCGACTAGTTTTTGCTAGTTCTGAACATCTTCCTAGTATTTTCACGTGCCGTTCTAAAATCCGCCGGTAGGGGGACATGCCCGACCTAGGTCTACCTCCTTGCGTAAGCCAGCCTCTGCGTTCACCCAACGGCCTGGCGACAGGTTTTGCTGCCAGCCCACTACATGAAGATCAAGGCGATCGGCCGTCTCAACAACGACACGTACCTCACAGGGCCCGCCGGGCCGCCAACGCTCCTGGCTGCGCTTGCACCCTCCTTCCTTCGGGCGCTCGCGTGGCCTCGTCGCCAACGGTACTGGAAGGGACGCAGCGCTTCTTTCTCCTCCTCTCTCCTCTTCGCTGCTTCTCCTGCTCGCTCCTCCCTCCCTCTCTCCCTTCCTCCTCCATCCTCCTTCCTTTCTCCGTCCTTTCTCACTTCTCCCCAGTGGCGCCAACAGGTGTTCCACTGCCTACTGGCCATATCACCAAGCTCAGTCCGCCAGACATGGCGAAGCCGCTTGCATGCCGTCGGCGCGATAGGCTTTCTAGGTCGCACGCGGTACTCAGAAATCACGCCTCGCGTGAGCGCTGGGCGCTGTCGCAAAACCATCTCTTTGTACATGCCGACTACCAGCTTACGCCCCATGCCATGGCCATGCTATGCTCCTCGGCAGCGTACCCTTGGGGGACAAACCAATCACGGATTTTCATGGTTGGTATTACCAGCCATCTGAGTACACCGACATTGCGAGCCAAGGGATGCCCAACCGAGGTAGTCAAGGGCAAGGCTAGCACTTTGTTCTCAATAGGATCTGCGCGCGCTAGCGTGAAGGCGACATCCATGGGCACATCGAAGCAGAAGCTACTTCACCCGCGCTCTGCGTTCGTGTGCTCTCGACACTGTTGCTCTCGGCCACACGAAAAGGCATCGTCGTAGGCACCGCCACGATCTGGCGGATGGGGGGAGTGTGTGTGTTTGAAGGTCGACAGAGAGCCACCAGAGGTGGCCCTCGGTGCGAAGCCTCCTCAGCAGCACGATGGTGGGGCGACTGTCCGCCTCCCCTGCGCACAGCCGAGACCACCCGCGGCGGCGAGCCAGGCGTCGCCCACGGGCAGCCGCTCCGCCTGCGGGTGCGCAGCGCCGCGCACGGGTCGGCATGCACCTGGGCCTCCCGCCGCTCCTCGCAGACCTGGCCGCGCCCCTGCGGGTCCGCCCCAGGGCCGGACCCGAACGGTGCTTGCGGCGAGCTCGTGGGCCGTGCTCGCTCCGACGGCGCTCTGCGGCAGGGGCGGCTCGAAGACAAAACGGCGAGGGAACACGAGCACAGACCGAGAACGGAAGACACCGTTTAGGCTCGGCCCTGGTCCGCCCAGCGCACCCAGCCAGGGCCGACGGTGCCTTGGCCTTGGCCTTGGCCTTGGCCTTCCGGAGAGGCGGCCGGCCTGGCCCCCTGCCCGTCCTTTTCGGCGGGCTGGGGCGCGCCGGCGGCCCGCTTCGCCCGACGGGTTCGCCGAGGTTGGCGACCTCGGGCACGAGCAAGCACGCTGCTGCACTGGCGGCACGCGGCGTCTGGCTTCTCTGTAGCGACGCTCCGCGCACACCGAACAGGTCGTTTTGGCCGAGGTGGGCCCGGGCTGGCGGGCCTGCTCCGACAGGAGCTTACACGATGCCGCGGGGGGAGGGGCGAGCTCCCTCGGTTCTCGCCCGTGGCGGGCCAGGGGAATCGCGAGCGCTGCCGCGGATCTGCGGGGTCTACTTGCTGTTCGCGGACAGCCAAATGACTTGAGCCAGAATGGCTACGGAGGAGGAGGAGGGAGGAGGGGGATAAGGAGCCGTAGACAGAACAGCGTAGAAGCAGGTCGGAGACCCCCGCTTTTCAAGGGCCCTCGGGTTTTGGGATGCTGCCCAGTCCTTTGTGCTACGAGTAAAATTAGGGGTCGGATCTGTCCTCAGGATGGTTGAATCAGATGCCCCAGGATCCCGTGCGGAAGTCGTGGTGCGGAGCGACCTAGGGGGATCCCTCAGTCTTTCTTGCGGTACGGCCATAACCCAGCCCGGGTCTTCTGGATCACCAGCCCTCCTCATGGACAAGTTTTGGCACGTGCCAGTTCGTCCACCAAATGGGTCTCTTGGCGGGGTCGGGTATGAGTGAGCAGGTGTTTACAATCCCTGCCCGAGTCGCCGGCGACGCTGGTTGTATTTTCCTCTGCACCCTCCTGCTGAATCTGACGCTGGCGTGCTATTTTAAATGCACTCATGCATGTGACCTGCAACCGATGTGCCTTCTATGCGCGATTCCTGACTGGCTGACGTAATCCAAATTTGGGCACGCTGTGTGGGCAATCACCCGAGGTCTGGTTCACTAACCCATGCGAACCGACTGCCAGGGCCCGGGCTCCACGGCCACCGTCTATGGCACCTTCCAGCGAATGCCCAGCGCTCAGAGGACCTCTTTCACGCCAGGCGCTTTGCGGCACCGGTACCTCAGGTGCGCAACCGACAGGTGGTCCGCTGGCGGGCTTTGGTTGATGGGCCGATTTTCGACCACCACCACCATAGGAAGGAGATGGAGGAGGAGGAGGAGGAGGAGGAGGAGGAGGAGGAGGAGGAGGAGGAGGAGGAGGAGGAGGAGGATGAGGATGAGGAGGAGGACCTCCCCCCCTCCTCCCTTCTCCCCCGTCCTGCCTGTGGTAGTGGTGTGGTGGTGGAGATTTTGGCCCAGCAGTGGTGCCCCTCAGCCGAACGGCTTCGAACAAGCCCTCTCTCGTCTCTCATCCCTCCTCCGTCCTCTGTCCTTCCCTCCCCACCCCGCCCACCCTCGTAGCACACATACCCTCCCTCACCCCCCCGCAGGTGGCCCTGCCCCGCCGTCCCCCTTCCCCCCCTGCCCTCCAGGCCCCTCCCGCCACGGCGATCCCCCCCTCTTTTCCGACTGGGCATACCGCCAACCCGCAGAATTGGTAAGAATGGGCAACCTTCCCAGGGATACCCTTGCATCCTTGCCTCCTTGGTCCATCCTTGGCCATTTTCGTCGGCCGCGCCCCGCTCGAGAAGCTTCGAAATGGGCGTCCAAGGGGCCCTTTCATCCTCATCGCGCATCCTTGCTATACGGGTTGGCTGTAACGCGATACGGGGGTCTTTTTTGGAGTTCGGGTGCCATGGGAAGGACAGGAGCAGGATGTCCGAGATTGCGCGAGAGCCCCTGGCTTGTTGATCCCCCTCACCCCAGTCCCCCCCTCTCCCTGTTCCTCCCCTCCTCTGCCTCCTTTGTGGCGATCTCGCCCCTCTCCCCCCCCTCCGCATCCGCACCCCCTCGTCCCCCGAGGAGGAGGAGGAGGAGGAGGAGGAGGAGGAGGAGGAGGAGGAGGAGGA